CCACCACGCTGACATGAGACATTTAAATGTACTCTGTTCCGTCATTTCTGTATAGCAGTGTCATATTTCTTCTCTTTGGCTATTATTTGGACTTTTTGGCAACAATTATAGGCAAAAAATATAGGAATATTAAATTACATCAATGGGAACACACACATACTGCCAATGAAAAATGAAAAAATGAATGAACATTAAAATAAAATTTCATGTCAGAATAGGCCTATAAACAGTTATTTTAAAAAAAAAAATCTGTCAGCAGCTCCCTTGGTTAAATAAATTAATAGTAAATTTCTGCTATTGGATAACAGGAAGATATATAGATATAGATATAGATATAGATATAGATATAGATATAGATATAGATATAGATATAGATATAGATATAGATATATATAAACAAATAATAAACAAGTATAGCACAACCAGTGCTGTGATATATTTAGAAAATTAGCAAAATTTAGTCTCATGTATTTAATATGCGGTGGAAAACTACTGTGCCACTGGTCACTCTTTCAGCTGGAGGTATTGGTTTCTTCTGCTTTATTCTTAATTCTTTCTGTAAGTATTAGTAACATATGGATAAAGTGCAATTTTTGATTCTGGCATGCTGCTCTGTTCTAGCTTTTACAATGTAGAATTATTTCAAATTGCTATCAATATGAGGTATGTCCTTTATATTTTCATATATCTTTCTGCTGTGTGAAAAAAATTGATGTAGTGAAACTGCTAACAAGCTGAGCCTTTGAAACCATGGGCAGGTGATGAAAGCCACCTCATGTCTAAAGCATCCCCAGGTCACAGCTGTCACACTCACTGCAATTCATTGCTGTCACAATCTGCTGTCCCTGCTTGTTGTTGCTCTCCTCTTATTCATCCAACTCATATATCTAAACATTCCATTACAAAAAGACATCTAATGTTCGTCTCATGTTCGAAAGGGCACAACACTCTTCTGAAATATAATTCTGAAGATTTTAGAGCTCAGAGTTCACTGCCAAATCTAAGGTGTTGCTTTGTAAGGCTTCCCTTGTAATTTTGTCTTTGTCTCATCTCCTGAACATAGCAGGATAAAATGTTTGGTTAGTACATGATCTCAGCTTTATTCCAACTTCTTATCATGAAGAAATGAAATATTGCCCAGTAATAGAAAGGCATTTGACGCTTTGTGAGTTTAAAGATAACAGCGCTAACTGTGAACTCGGTGAATTGGAAGGAAAGGTCAGCAAGTCATCTACTGTGGCACTGTTCACAAAGGCAATTCTTCCACCCAATGAACCAGGTTGTTTATAATCTGAAGACTCAGATTCTAAGACTTAATTTTGTTCTTTGTTACTTAATTGGATAAGGTTACCATTGATTTACTTTTCAGAGTGGAAATTTCTCATAGGTCTTCTAACTTTCAAGCAGAGTTCAAACTTGTAAACCATCTTGTACTCTAATTTCAAATCTATGCTGTCATTTCAGGTTACAACTATGAACTCCAAGATGAGTGATTCAGAAACTTTTCAAATCAACTTGTGGAAACTGTCACTGAGGAAAAACATTTAGAGTAAAATTAGGTTTAAAAAAATGAGCCAGAAGATAACGAAAACAAAACCAAAAAGTCTAAAAATGTAGCAGCAAAAAAAAAGGAAGATATGATCTAATAACAGTTTTGTGAAAGTGAACAACTGCACTATTTATCCATTCCTGTAAAAATAAAGGAAAAGGAGGTTTGACCTTCTCACTTACATCTATTCTCCAAGATATTTATTTTGATTGTAGTATAAGTTATAATTCATAAACTTTACATTGCCAGTGCAAGGTTCAAAAAGTATGCTGATTAGAGAGTTTCCTGCTCAACAACTCATTGCATATAATTCAATGGACACTAAAATCACAGCCTCTGACTATGCCTAGTGAGGAAGAGGTAACTTGCCATTGACATTATGTCCATGATCATGGGAAGAAAATCCCCCTAACAATGACCTCATGCTTTTATGTTGCTGGGGTTTATGTTTCAATCCTGTTCAGTATTAAAAAATAGGAACATAATTACTTGGCCGTGCTACCTCTATCCACATGACCATATTCATCTGCCATAGACTAAAACAGAGGACATTAATCTAGACATACATTGTACCACAAAGGGGCTGAAGGAAAGAGTAGGAAAGTCCTGCGAGAGTAAAAGTTCCTTAGCCCTTACAGTATTATTGAAATAACTACGTGCAGCAAGATCTTACACTTAGAAGTGAGTTTTGGATGGCAGATTAACACTTGTGTTTATGTATTTACCTGCAGTACAAAGGTATTGTGGGCAGTATGTCACAGGCCTTGACTGAAGAAGTCATAGCAGCACTTAGGTAGTGTCTCCATCAGGTTCTACCTAAATGTCCCAAAACTCCCACTTAATCGTGCAGACTTTAAATAATGTATATTTCACCCTTGAGTGAGCACACTTTTCTAAACAGAACTTAGGTTAATTTGGCCGTTTAAAAACACTTCATTGTAAATCCACATCTTTTTAATTTATGGTTATGTGCAAACCAGATGGGAAAACAAAACCTGGTTTATTAAATAACTTGCACAAGATGTTATGCCAGGAGCTGCACAAAAGTTGGCAGCTATGATGAAGAATTTATTAGCATGAATACGGGGTAGGTGAATTTTCAGAAATGACAGAGATAAATAGTGTAGATTATTAATACAAACAAATGCTTAAATAAGCAAGATTTTGAAAAAAAAATATATGATTTTCCAGTTACAAAGTGCTGCTAAAATGTTTCAAACAGAGAACCAAAATTGCTAGCTACTTTCAAAATCTTCACCTAGATTATAATGAAACTATCTTTCCAACTAGATGAGCTACAAGAATGAACTTGTTAAGAAGTTAAAGAACTCTGGGATAAGGAAAATTTTCAGGTACAGTGCTGCCTGTGGTTAAAATAATATACATAGCTACATGATGACAGTCTCCCTTTCAGAGTCCAATACTTTTAAACCTACTAGACAGGTTCAGATCAGATGAGCCAGGAGTACTTCTCGGTTAAGTGCTTCCTGGGTCCAGCAACGTTCCCATTATCGGGTGAGATCTGTGAACACACCAGGACCTGCTTTCCACAAAAGGAAACCTTGTTTACATAGCCTAGGAGCTGTGTTGTACTTCAAATGTACTGATTTTGGTAACTGGAGACAAAGATCAGGGGTCACATTGGGGTATGCTCCCATAGACATACTTAAATGTAGTCCACAGTAACTTAGGCAACTTTAATAGCTAGAACTAGCTTGTAAATCGACTTTACAAGCTAGAAGTCAGCTTGTCAAAGTTTAGAAACAAGTTACCAATGCTCATGAAGGTCCAATTTTGTACTCTTACATATGAAATCAAATAGCTCACAGAAAATGAAAGAAGGGAAAATAGTAGGAAAAACAGTGAAAACAAAGTTTTGCTGCCATAGTAATTCATACTTGTCAGGTGTCATTTAGCATGTGCTCCATCTCAATTTTTTAAATATCTCTGTAATACCAGTGGTCACTGTATTAACAACTAAGAAAATAAATTTAGAATGAAATAGAGCACCAGGTATGTTCCAGAGAACTTTAGTGTCATGTAACTCTTACTAAATACTGCTCAAGTGAAAACAGAAAAACAAAGGTACAGCAATCACCATGTAATCGAACAGTTAGTTAGCAACAGAGTGTTTATATTGCCAAGATATAGGCAAGATGGACATTAGGGGTGGAATCTAGCTTTGCTGACATAGCACCTAAAGAAAAAATTCTTCTCAAACCAATGTCTTAACTCCCCATGTTAGCAAAGGTAAGAAAGGGATGGCACTGAAGGCCTCCAAAGGAGATCCTATATTTGAAAGTGCAGATACCTAAATTAGGTCACCAGACCATATTTTTCTAGGTCAATAGCAACATAGATTTGTTGACTTTTAACTGAATGGCTCTTTATGATTCTGGGCTTGTTAGGTTAAAGAGGACAGCAGCATAAGCATGTTGAATGTCTTTATAAAGTCAGATCTCTTCACTCTGCTTAAATCATCATGAACTTCAAAACTTTAGCAACTCTTGATTTGAAGGTCCAAGAGATTTTAAGTTTACCCATTTTTTGTCAAAGGAATTGCACTAATGGACAGATTTCCACCATAGCCATAAAATATCAAATAACCTTGCCTTCACATGTCTATTTCTAACATATGAATGTTACATAAAAGCACAAAAGTACTTTCTGTATCTCATTTATTAGAACTAAAGAAGGATAACAGGTAAAATGTAGATATCTGAATAAATATCAAATCAAATTATAAATATCCAGTGGTAAGGGAGAAATGCCTTTAAAATGAAAACAGATCATCTTCAGCCAGAAGGAGAGAAGACTCCATGCCTCTGCTAAATACCTCTGTAATCAGATTAGTTTAGTTACAGGAAGCAAACAAAACCTAAAAGGGGTAGACAATTTCAGATGTCAGATATTTTTGAGATATTCTACAACACTACAGTTCTGGCCTGCAGATTAGCGGGTCTGTTTTGTGCAACTTTATTCCATTCTGTTCTGGGATTTGGCAATTTAGGTTCTGCAGAGGTAAAGTATCAAGACTTTCAGCCTTCTTCAGATAATTTGAAGCATTTCAGTTCAAATGCTTAGATTTAAAAGTTGGAAGAACAGTCTCTTCTAATTTAGGAAAAAAGGAGTAATTTCTTCCTTGATATCTTGAGGAACATTGTCATTAGATTACAGACTATGAAATGTGAGAAATCAGAAAGCCGTGTATTGTGTATGAAAATGCTTCAACTTGAGCAGTTTTAATACTGATTTAGAGAGGGAAAGAAAAACTGAGAAGATAACACTGGCCACCAGCAGCGTACTGTGTTCCCAGAACTGCAACAGCTGGGTTTCTCATATATATTGACTTTATGACTTACCTCGTAACATCTGACACCTACCCACATTTACAACATTTATGACAATTGTGAGCGTACTAGAATTTTTTTTTTTTTTTTAATATAGTTACCTTAATAACAGATGTCTCAACTCTGGATGGAGGACTCTGCACTTGTGCTGCTGCTGCCATGTTGGCGATGGTACTAAGGTGATTCATCTGGCTCATTGCCATCGTGACAGATGCTGGAGGTAGGCTCACGGGAATTAACGGGTGGGGCATCATCATAAAAGGAAGTTCCAATCCTGGTGGGGGAAAAAAAAAGTGAAATAGGTTTGTGCATCTTTTTAAAACATTGTCTTTTTTTTCTCCTGATGGAAAATATTCAAGTGATGGATGACAAGATAGTTCACATTGCAGGACAAAGCAGCTATATGTCAGTTCTCTTCCGGGATATGCATGGGTAAATCACTAGCAACCATGGAGGGTTTCTAGCCACAAGGAGAGGCTATTAGACCTCTTAGTTTGTTCATATCAGTGTAATGTATGATATCATTGCTAAGCAATGGTTGTTTATTATGTTTTTTAATATCTGCTGTAAGGTGCCTTAGCAATGCATTATTATGCCATTGATGCACAGGTTAGCAGTTATTTTAAGAATCAATTTTATTGCATATATATTTATTCTTTATTGTCTCCAGTTCCCCTGCTTAATACTTTAAAGGAAGTATTCCAATATTCCCCACATCTTTGATTTTTCATAGCCTATTTATATAAAGACAAAATAAAGACAGGAATTGAAAAACTGCTGAAGTTAGTGCTGAAAGATGTCAACCCGTACCATTTGGCAGAAGGTGGTTCTGTTGAAGAGGGTTGAGAGGATGGCTAACTGGAACATTATGCTGTCCAGGCAAGTTGGGGTGGTTAACAGAGGCCTGTGATCCTTGGGTGGGGGGAGACTGAAGTTTTTCTTTATCCCAAGAACCATCACTGCTGCCTGTGGGGAATGAATATATATTATTTGGATGAAGGAAGACTCCAAATTTTTAATGTCTGAATTTGCAAGCAAGGCCAGCAATCTAACCTTTTTTGCAAGTGGCATTTTCTTTCTTTCTTTCTTTCTTTATTTATTTAATATGTGGGTTAGGGGAAGGACTTTGGGTTTTTTTTTCCACCCTCTAAAAAACATATGTAAGGATAACTTTTTAAAGTTAAGAGTTAGAACACAAACCTAAAAGTATTATAGTTGTGCTCATTCACATGAAGTTTGTGTTTGATGTATATTTTACACAGTGTTGCCATTCTTAGCAAGTAAAACTATATATGGCATTTGTTTTATGCATGAGAGAGTATTTTTGCCTGCAAAATGTCTAAAAAAATATTGCTTGTTATGCCAATTAAAATTTAAACTATATTCATTTTTCTTCTTGTATTTGTGAATAAATAAACATTATAGGAAGTAACTAAAATATTTATTGAGGGCACCAACATGCATGTATATGTGCTTGGCTGATGATTCTATTTTGTATTTTCAATTTTTATTTCATATTATTAATTAAAATGTAAAGGATTATTAATCGATTCCTGCAGTCTTCTGGTAGTGGAACAGACTAACAGCAAGGAAGAATGTGGACAAATAAGTGTTGAGACAAGCAGTAATTCATGTACTTGAGAAATACCCTTTTTCAATATTGTGGACCTCATCAAAAATACCCACAAAATTAAACAATTAGAGGATTAAACAGGAAGGATACAATTAAAGGACAATACTAAAAATTCATATAACATTATTAATTTGTACACTTATACATAACAAAAAGTTTAATATCTTCCAATCTGGTGACTTATATTATTCATGGTGCATATTTATGTATAATTATTTATGTATAATGCTGAGATTGAGTATATGTATGTTTACACAAACAAAGTAATCTATACACTCATTGTATGAGTTTATTTACTATATACAATCAATAAACAATGTTTGAATATATTAATAAATATGCATATATGCATGCATTCTCAGCAGTATTAATATACACATCAGCAATATATGATTGCTTCCTTTTTCATATAGAGCATAATTTCACCCTGCTGACTTTGAAAGTTTCTACTATTTTCACGGGAATTTCTCTTGATAAGGACTTTAGGATAACATCAGCCAAGACCTATTTAATCTCTACTCAATTTCTATTTAGCATTAGGGACTACAGTTCTCATTTCTGAATGTTTGTCTATATACATCTTACTAGTTAATGAACAACAGGGCTTTGAAAACAACAGGACTAATACCACCTTCTCCTTACTTCAGTAGAAATGAGATTAGCACATTAGTCTTGACATTTTTTAACATCGTTTTCGTGGGATGACAAAAGCACAAAAGTTGGTAGAATTCCAATTTAATTTCTCTACATCTATTAGAAACCTGATTGTAAAAGCTGTACAACATAGTTTATAATGAAAAATACTCCATTATTTCCAGAGTTACTTCATGAAGACAGTTAAGGCTCAATATAAATTCTAACTCATTAGCTCAATACTGTCTCAATCCCAGTGTAAATTGTTCAGAAGTAGGTAATGAAAATTCAGTCCAAACTCTCCCGCAATCAAACAAAGCAATTTTATGAAACAATGAAAGGAATCAATTATATGAGATACTTTTATTATTTTACAAGAAATTGTCATAACCTTTATGCAGTGTACATAGTTGAGCTGGTTAATACATGATTTGAATCTCATCACCTCTGATAAATGAAGATGTTTTCTTGTATCTTGGGAACTCAGACTCAAAAAACCATGAACCTCCTTTCAAACACATACGTAATTGAAGGAACTAAACCTTAGCTGGAAAAATACTGGTTTTCCTTCTAATTTTCTTTTCTCCAATTTTCTGCTTTTTGCCACTGTGACATATACATTTCACTTATTTTGAATATTCTTCCATTAAAAAATATGACCCTGGAAATGAGAGTTAAACACAATAAGTGAGTTCATCTCATTTAGCCAAAATGTAGGTGTTGATGCCAAGTCAGTAGAGGAAAACAGGTAGTTCCAAATGGTCATTCATCCCACCTTAGGGCATGTGTCCCTAAAATAATAAAGCTGCTTTTATGGTACTTAGGGCTTCATTAAAAAACAACACTGAAAATCTGACTATACAATGTCAAATCCTAAGCAGGAACAAGCCCAAACTTAATTTTTGCATTTGTTAAGAAAAGTTGAAGAGACAACTTTGTTCTGGCAGATCTTGCAGTGGAGCACATACTGCTTGTCCATCTTGCTCTAGTTTTGTGCTGGATGTGGTACTGTCTGTCTTGCTGTGGCTAACACGAAGGCAGCAAAGGCCCTCTACACTGGCTAGTTTAGCACAAGTGTGATTACACTGTGATTCAGATGAAGTCAGCATTGCCTGGTGACCAGGTAATGATCAAATGAAATGAAGAGGGAAAGACCGCAAGAAACAAATGGAATGAATGGCCTCTGGGCATGCCTTCATCTGTACAGTAACTGCAGAGGATTTTACAAATGGCTTAGACTTAGATGGCTTAAGTAAGATGAATCTGGGACAGAATGTCTTGTTTTTGTAGCTATAAACTCTCCCATCTTCACCATCCACTGAAAATTCTTTTTTGGACATTTATTTCTTGTTCTTTATAAAAACCAGAAATAGAAAAGGCTATGTTTGTAAAATTTATTTCAGACTTGGAGTAAAATTCTCTCATTTACATGTAAAGTTATAGTATTCTTAACAAGGTCACCATTTTACAAATCCTTTAAGCTTATTGTTTTGTACTTTCCTATCAAAACATGATGACATCCATATGTCATATATGTATAGGAATACACATAATACATAAATACGTATTAGTAATTATAGGAATATTTGTTAATATTATAAGGAAGATTTTTGCATTTTATAGGGCTGGTGAATTCCCAGTAATACAATATTTTCCCTATTTACTAGCAAGATCTTCTACAGTGCAGTTAATTTCATGTTACACGCTGATGTTCGATATGGAGATGGAGTCAATTCTGCTGTGAACCTTCCTAACCTGGTCACAGTATTTTGCACGGTCAGTCATAGATTGCCAATTATGACACTGCCTATGTGGCTCAGAAATTAGAGCTTTTCTAAATCAGTACTCCTTGCTGCCTCAAAATTACAGTGTCTATTGTTTTAGAGTGATATCAAACCCAATAATAAATTGGAAGAGAGAAGACAAGCTTCAGAAAGCGAAGTGTTGAGGCTAGCGTTTAGTCAGTGACAGATTCTTTAATACTTGTAGCCTGGCATCATCTGTCAAGATTTGTTTACAAGGAAAATGATTCATAGACAGAATCCAATCCATAACATTAGAAACCACTTTCAAACTGCAGGCTGTTGCACTCCTGATCACTTTAAGTGGACAGACACAGATACAAATAGTCTTGGCCATTTGCTGTGTTTTTCTTATGTTAGTTAAGCGGAACAATTTTACTCTTAGAGGAAACAGTTATTTTCATTAACGTCAAAGAGAAATAAGTGTTATTCCTTAGACACTACTCACCGTCTGCACAACTAAGTGCAAGCTACCAGTTCTGTCACTTTTTACATTTGATTTTGATTTAATGCGTACAGTGGTTTCAAAGAGTATTAAAAATCTGTTGCCTTCTTCCTCTTCACTTGTTGCCCTGCTGGAGGCTTATGTTTTTCCAGTTTCCATCAGTGGTTGTCAAGTCTTTGTAATAGGATTAAAAGCTTGGACACCTGATATCCCTGGGTGCTGCAGTTCACCCTCATAAAAGCTGTTTGCTTTAAATTGAGAGAAAATCAGGTTTTAGTGGCATAATTAATTAAATTATGCAAAGTGTTCCAGATTCAGCATAACACTTTCCGAAGCAGCAATTGGAAGCTCTACATTGCATTCAAACTGCATTTCAATTGATGCTGCACTAGGCTGACCAGAGAGTAGCATTTTCAATGCTTTCAAGCACAAGCGATCCAATTTTGAAATGCAGATGCTTAATGTTGAGTGCTCAAACCCCATACATGTGCACTTGAATAGGCAATTTGGTAGCCAGCTATGTATTTCACGTGCTATAGTGCTAATATGAGCACTCAAAAATTTGAAATTGAAGTTCCAAATGTAAGTACATGTGCTTAAAAACTGGGCTCAGATTGTCTCACATTTACTGCAACAACCTGATGGAACAAAAATGACAATACATTTTCATAACTTAAAAGGCGGACTACAGAATTCAGTGTTTTCCCCATCACCAACATTTCAGCACATATTTTCCATAATGTGAGTTACCTTCTCCCATAATCAGCGGTTACACAACAAACCATTATTTGTACACTGAAGTGGGTCTGTAAAAGCCTGATGCCTGGATTATTTGTATTCATTAGTAGCACAATTAGGTAGCTAAGGATGGTAATAATAAATGAAAACAATTCTGGACTGGAAGGTAATGCAGCCAAGAAAAAGAAAATGAAGCAGAAAACTAGACTGTACAATGTCAGCCTCGCAAACAAACTCTGATCTAAATGTACCAGTTTCATTTTTACAATCGCATCTCTTATTTGCTTACTCCTTTTTCTTTCTCATTCTGTCCCCAATAGGATTCAGCTTGCCTAAATTTAGGTTCCTACAACGTGACTTGAGTGGCTTAATTCCTGTGACAGTCAACAGGGATCTAGCCAACAGGCTCTGGAGAACTGTTGAGCTCCCTCTCTGGGAGACAGACCTATCTTTGGTCAGTTGAACGTGAATCTCCTGGTTTCAGGGACTACAGTCCCAACTCAACTCAATTGCCTAAACACACACTACCTCAGACGGCCAAAATAATTTGAGACACGTCTTATAGGGGTGGTGAGTACAATACAGCACCTACAGGAAACCCCATGGCTATCTGGAGATGTAGATCAGGCAGGATACTCGAGGATATCTAAGACAGTAGCACATAACTATGCCTAGACAACTAAACCAAACCTTTCTTAATTATAGGTGGATTTTA